TCACACATCAACCCCCCCCCCCCCAAATGTTTGATTTTTTTTTTTTTTTTTACAGGCCAATAGCGGCTGACATGCGCAGGCCGAGCGCGCGCGTCGATTTTGAGCGCGCACCCCTGCCCGGGTGTGGCGCGGCTGCGCGCAGACTCGGCCGCGGCCCCGCAACCGGCCTCCTCGGCCGCGGCCGCAGGATCCGCGGCCGACAGGGTCACGTAGGTTCCATGTTTGCCCCCTTCATGTTTTCTATGTTTCCCGACGTCGTCACTCTTGCCCGCGACACTCTCACACCGTGCAGCCAAGGGGCCCCCTGCATTCCGAACTGCAGCAACACCTTGACGACTGGGGCATGGCCTGGAGCCTCAAACGTTGGATTTCCCATAAGTGGGTCGGTGGAAGGTTCGATCCTCAGACCTCATTTTGTTGAGAGGCCTGCGTACTGAGACCTCCCCTTCCCCGCGTCTGGGCTGCAATCGGTCCGGGCCTGGAACCAAGGCTGGACCAAGCCTGGCACCTGGTCCCACATGGAACTCGGCTTCGGGACCAGGAGTGGCCCTGTGTCCTTGTTGGCTAATATGCGGTACAGTCCATGGTACAGTGATGGTCTCGCCGCGCGCGAAGTCCAAGGGCGAACCGTCGGAGGTTCAGGCCATGCGGCAGGCATACTGCGGCGCAACACCGCGCGGCTGGGCAACGAGGGAGCGGTGGAGCGGGGGAAGGTTCGACCAGCGGAGCACCTTGTCGAGCTGGCATGGTAATGGCGGCAAGTTGCAGGGGGGCTGGCGCCACCACGGCGGAAAGAACGAGATTCGGACGAAAATTGAATCGAATTGAATTGAGCGAGCGCGGGAGCGATTTCTCTGAAAGCCGAAGCCGGTCGAATTTTTTAGCGGGGGATGGAATCCGCGCAAGCCACGTGGAGCAGATCCGATCGGTCTCTTCCATCCCAGGGCGCGGCGGCACATCTTAGGCCCACGTTTTGGTCCAATTGCTGAACTCCCTCCCCTCTCCCGCCTTGTCATCATCAGTCTCGTTTTCCATCGCCGGCCGGTCCCCGCCATATCTCTTTGCTATTCTCTCTCTCTCTCTCTCTCTCTCTCTCTCTCTCTCTCAACTCTAGATCTCCATATATGTATATAATATATATTGTCCGATCTCGCCGTTTCTCTTTTCGTTTACCGTTCATTCCTTCAATTCAGTACATGCCATACATTTCAATGTGGTAGGATCAACGAACGATTTGGCACTTGGCGAGCAGAGCTCAGGTCAACTCACACTGAGCTCTGATGATAAGAGCGGTCCTGAGAGATGTGCGCGAAGCAGAGGTGGACAGAGCTGGGATTTTAAATTTCTTGATGTTCATTCATTTGAGACATTTTACCATGTCTGAGTTTATAGTGTTACGTTATGAATCCCATGACATTGTCGTAATGATCGTGAAATGAGATGACATGGGATCAGATTCTGTCAATCGGCCAACTTAGAGAACAAGAACAAGAAGGCGCTTCCTTGTCGGTGGGTGGAATTACGCCTGGCAGTGTAGGTGTGGGAAAGTGACCAGTAATCACCACGCAATTCAATTCAATTCAATTCAATTCAATTCGATTCAATTCAACTCAATTCGATTGAAGTCGCTCATGGTCGGACAATACGATCGCAATTCAATTCAGTTGGCAGGACTCCAAGCGGATTGGGTGAGGAGTGTAGGGCTCAAAGCTGTGAGTCGGCCTGCTCAAACTGAGTCTGCGTACTTAGTCAGTGTGGAGTTAGGCAAAGAGGAGTGTGTGCCGTCTCCTCCTCCTCTCCATCTCTCTTTCTCCTCTTTCTCTCGTGGCAATGGGTGTCGCAGCTCTTGCTCCGATCTGGCCGCTGATCGAGTAATGCCGTGAAGGTCTATGTAGAATGACCGACCTCTGACCGTCTGACGACGATCTTTCCGTTTTCCAGCATCATGTCTGACTCTTTCTTTCCCGTACCGGAGGATCGAACGCCTGACTCGTTCGATGCCGGTTATCAGTGAGAAAGTGTGCTGGCGTTCTTTCGACGAGTAGAAAGGCAGGCGCTGCTCAGCGAGAGCCAGTCGCAAGAGAGGGGTTGGTAGCACCGCCGCTGATGTTGGGATCATCCCCACCAGGGCGGGAGGAAGCGGGCGGGGGAGGTAGGTGGCTTGTCGCTTGTACCGTGGCACTTCGATCGCATTTCACTTGACAGAGATCCGTGCATCGGCAAACAAGCCGAAAACGGGTCTGGGAGGCACCTCTTGTATTGATGGCTCGGGCGTGGCGGGAATACCAACGGCTGCTCGCTGTTGACGGGGGCGGGAGGATCATTAACGTGGTCGACAAGCGATTGTTGCTGAAGAGAGCCCGGGTGCAGCAGCGGCCGAAGGTCGATTCGTGGCAATGCCTGGCAATCAAGTATGCGTGCGTTGCTATGGATGGTTACAAGCGATAGGTGTGCCCCGTGAGTAATACAGTATGATGATTATCAGAAGGCAAAATGAGGTAGGCGGCCCAGAAGAGAGTCAGCAGCTTCAGAAGCGAAGATCAGGAAGGGGAGGGGTGGGAAGGAGGCAGGGATTCAGATGATGATGATGACCAAATGGTTGGTCGGGTGAAAACGAGGCATGAGGTGATTATTCTCAGTGAGTGGGGTTGGGGAAAGAGAGGTCGGTGGAGACGGATTGACATACGAAAGAAGTGAAAGGGGAAGACTGCGAGTGTGATTTATCGCGTGACTGTGGAAGAAGAAGAAGAAGAAGAAGAAGGCAACAACGACTTGGAGGTTGAACGCCATTGAGCGGTTTCCCGGAGAAGCGGAGAAAAGCAGTAGAGAGACGAGAAGAAGAAAATCGCACCAGAAGCTGTGGTACTAGAAAAGGAGAAGTCCGAAGAGGACAAGAAGAAGAAGAAGAAGAAGAAGAAGAAGAAGATGGCGGAGTCGAACGCGGGGCTTGTGGTAAATGAGAAACAGTTTACAGAAGACGAGAAAGTAGTGATGTCGAGTTCCGTTGATCAGTGTCTTTCTCCATCAAAGAGCGCGCCGATGGCTCACAACAACAAATCGGTGAGCGAACGGCTACTCGCTCAACCCCGAAAGGGAGGAGGAGGGGAATACGGAAGTCCCGTTCTGAGCTTCTCAGGCAGCGAAGATCGGTCCCGTTTCCGAGATCTCCGAGCTTTGCACTGCGGATGCGGGACTTGGCTTGGGTCATGGAGAGGAGGGAATAGTGGTAGTGGTGTGTGGGGGCGAGGAGGGGGGGGGAGTGCGAGTATGAACGGGAGCGCGATCCCACCTGTCAGTGACAACCCTCCCGCGGTTCGCCGATTACCATCTCTCGAGAAAAAGCCGACACACAGGAAGTCGTCGAGCGGTGGGGCGACGTCGAAGTTGACTGTGGTGAGCAAGGTAGGTAGAAAGTTGAAGAGGGGGCTGTGTGTCCCGATCACCATCGCGGAGGAGGAGGAGAAGGACCGGGAGGAGGAGAAGGAGGAGGAGGAGGCAAACGGAGCAGCAGGGGAGAAGGCTCTGAGCGTGGACTCGTCTTTCGATGCTGGAACTCCGCCGTCTCCGCCTTTGAAACAGCAACACGTGGCGTCTGCTGCTGAGGACTCCCATGCTGGCCGCGGGGCGTCTTCCGATCTTCTTCCTCCGCCTGCCAATGAGAAGTACGAGAAGGGCAAAGTGAGCGACTCTTCTCCTAGCACGAAGGAGGAAGAGGAGGAGGATGGTTCCGTCGCTCCTCCCGGCGATGGCCTCGTGGTGGTTGTCCACGTCGACGGATCGGCGCCGCCGAAGAAGTCGGTGACGTCAACGGCCAACCGCTTGGGTTTGTCTGGAGCATGGAGGAGTTTGAGCGGCGTTCTTTCCGCGAAGATGCGCAAGGCACGTACGCAGCATCACCACCAACGGCCAGAGCACGACCAGGAGTCGGATACGTCGGACAAAGAAGTGAATGGCAGCAGAGGAGGTGATGACAATCGTCACGAGAGGAGCAGCAGCGCTGACGTGGTTGACGTGCAGGAGGACGGAGGTAGATCATCAGCGTCGGCATCAGCCTTGCGATCAAGCGCGAATGCTGCAGTAGCAGCAGGAGGGGGAGGGGGAGGGGGAGAGGGCCGCCCAGCTCTGCGTGTCTCCCCACCTCGACGCCGGGTGCTGTTTTCTCCATACGGCAGTCCTTCTCGTCCTTCACACTCGTGCCCTCTTTGGAAGGATGGTGGCGAAGAAGTGCCATCGGGATGGGATAACGAGTCGGCTTATGGGACGCCTTGCGGGTCGTTTTCATCGCGCGCAACCCCGGCATTATCCAGCTATGGGACCCCCGTAGCGAAGTCGGGCCTATTTTCACCCCTTCTGGGTGGTGGGAGAAGCGATGGCGGAGAGCGCACGTTCACCACGATATCCCCGTTGACCGTGCCGCCGGGGTTATCGCGGTCGCGATCATTCGAAGAGGCTTCCTCGGCCACTCGGCGACGTCCGGCTGCCTCTAGATCTCCAGTCCGGATCTCGACGGGGCGATGGTTCTGGGATCCATCGCGGTGGGGAAGGAGGAGCAAAACCGCGCCAGAGGCCGCTGCTTCTCCTGCTGAGATGATGGAGGACGGAGCTAGACCATCGGGATCGGCATCCGCGTTGGGATCAAGCACCCCCGCTGAGGTCGATCGGTATATCGATCCGTCGGCGATTGGCAGTGATGTAGATGGCGCTAATGATTCGCGTGATGGGTTCGGCAATCTCGAGGGGGTGATCAGGAAGGCAAGGGAGAAGCGGGAGGAGGAAAGGAAGGAGTCGGAGGAGTCGGAGGAGGAGTCGGAGGAGGAGGAGGAGTCGCAGACGACGACGAGTCTGCGAGTGCTCAAGTCCCCGGTCGTAGTGCGCGGGGAGCAGCAGGTGATCGCGAACGGGGCGCGGCAGCAGGGACAAGGAGGATCAGGGAGGGTGGAAGGGACGGGCACCGTGGATGAAAGAGTGGTAATCGACGTTGGAGATCGGCGACGCAATCCGAACGCGGTTGTTGTTTCCTCTGCTGACGCGTCAGGGCCTTGTCGTGACTCTTCTTCTTCTGAGGAGCACGATGTTGAAAATGGAAATGGGGATGGAGAACGCTATGGTCGCAGGGATGGACAAGGACGACCTGTAGTACTTGGAGGACGAGCTGAAGGAGGAGGAAGAGGAGGAAGAGGAGGAAGAGGAGGGGAGATTTCACCTTCACTTCCTCTAGCTTCGCGTCTGGAGCTTGTTGGGAAACTTGATCTGGCGACTAATCAAGATCCGGATAGGAAATTGGGTAGATATGGCAATTGCAATGGAGAAGTAGGAGGAGTGGGAAGTGAAGGCGTCAGTAGAAGGTCGGTGATGGAAGACGGGAACCCTCTACCTCTACCGGTTTCTTCTCAGGAATCGAGGAGAGAGAGAAGGGTGGGTGATCTTGGTAATGGCTGCGATCCATCAGTGAGGGAGGACGATGAGTGTGAAGAAGGTCCAGTTAGCATAGTAGTAAGTGAACACCGTGGACTGGGTATCGCTTTGAAACGAAGAGGGGAACGAGGAGTGGGAGTTGGGAGTGAGCATCATGAACCTAATGGTGTGCTTTTGAAAAGGAGAGGGGAAGGAGGAGTGGGAGTTGGCTATGAACACCGTGGACCTAGTGCGCCCTTGAAACGAAGAGGGGAAGGAGTGGGTGTTGGGGAAGAATCAAGAGAGGCGGCGCTCGACGTTGGTCATCGCGATGGAAAGCCATCGCCAGCAGATACTGTCGATGGTGAGAACGGCACCATCGACGTTCCCAAGGACGCGGGCCGTGGAGAGCGAAAGGACGATTCGGAAACGAAAGGTGCTTCGGTTGGGGATGTGATGGGAGAAGGAGGTGATTCTCTCCGGTTACTCAATCTCGAGGCCACGCTGTCGAAACTTCAGCTCGACATTTGGGAGGACTCTCTCGCAGTCCGAGATCGAGCAGATCCAGCCGTCGACGGAGCCAAACCAAGCAGTGACATCGTCGTTACTAAAAATAGCAGCTATGGAAACTCGAGTACCCCTCCTCCCTCTCTTATTCCCAAACCCTATCCGGTCCTCGAGACGTGAAACACCCACCGCCTTGGCCTTCTCTCTCGCTCTGTTTCTCTTTGCTGCACGAGGAGTGAGACGACGCAACGATCCTCTCTCTCTCTCTCTCTCTCTCTCTCTCTCTCTCTCTCTCTCTCTCTCTCTCTGTGTGTGTGTGTCTGTCTGTCTCTGTCTGCCTGTCTGTCTCTTGCTTCAGGAGTAAGACGAGGCAACCTATGTCCTTTTTACGCGATCCTTGCGGACTCTATTGAGCCCCCTGGGGAAACGGTCAGTCTTCCTCTTGCTCCACATACCTCTGTCATGTCTGATCGTGCACTATCTTGGAGGAATCTCTTTCCCCTCCGTGTTCTCTTCATTCCGCCCCCTCCCGGTCTCTCGCTCTTTGTCGGTCCCCCTGCTCTTTGGTAAATTTTACCGCCCTCTCAGCAAACCTCTGTGTATGATGAATCGCTTTCTGCCGCTGTTTTTGTGATTGACAAAAACTTCAATCCCTCGCTAGTAGTAGAGTAGCTATCCTTTACTCGAGACAGTGATTGATCATCTATCTTTCCTGTTCTCTCTAATAAAACTTGCAGCTAGGCTGAGCTAGCTATGTGACGAAACCACTGCCCGCTGCTCTCGCTACTTGAACTCCCCCAGTCATATCACTCACGCTTTAAATTTCCACCAGGCACGAAGTGTCGATTGGATCCATGTCGCATCTTCGCAGTGAGCTTTTTTTCGTAACGACCTCTCTCTCTCTCTCTCTCTCTCTCTCTCTCTCTCTCTCTCTCTCTCTCTCTCTCTCTCTCTCTCTCTCTCTCTCTCATAATACTGGCACACTGTTTGGAGTTAACGGCCGCAAGATGGAAAACGACAGGCGATTGCAACCTGTCTTTCTTTTCAGTTCCTACTCCCGCTGAATCTTTTCCTTTGTGGGCGAGAGTATAGATTCTCCTTCCCTCCTTCCCTCCTTCCCTCCCTCCCTCCCTCCTCCCTCCTCTCGTTCTCATCTAACAGCCGAACACTTGTTTCCTCGCAGTTTTAACCCAGTGGGTTGGTCAAGAACTGCCTTCTTTCCAACGTACCAAAAAAAGGAGGAGAGAGAGACGCTGCAATATCACTAAGGAGGAGAGAGAGACGCTGCAATATCACTAATTGATGTTGATGCCGTTTTCCTTCTTATGAGCGATCAACCTCTTCTCTTGGATTCTCCTGCGGCCCACTGATTGGCATTGTTGCCGTTTCTCGTTGGTTCTGCTTTTCTTGCTCCTTTGGTACCCATTGAAACCGTTTCTCTTTGATGCCGTTTGATGCCGTTTGATGCCGATGATACTATTCCGTGCCCGTCTGGTATCGTTCCTCTTTGGGTGTTTCTAGTTCTCCTTTTCCCGCTCCCCACTGAATGATATCGATACTGTTTGTCTTCGGTTCTCTCTGCTTCTCCTTCCGTTGCCTTCCTCCAAGCCTCTTTTCGTTGGGTGTCACGTGGCCACACGATATCTTTACTGTATTTTCTGTCGTAACACGTGGCACTGTGTTGCTTGACGGATGGTGATTGGAGATTTTGGCAATCGCAGCGATATAAGATCGGCTGGCAGAGCTGTTCTCTCTCTCTCTCTCTCTCTCTCTCTCTCTCATACACACAGCACACACGCACACACGCACACGCACACGCACATACACAAGCACACGTATTGGCGTATGTGACATCTGTGTTTGATATCCCCTTTGTTATGGAATGGAAAATGCACGGCAAGAGCTATATACGATCGGCTGACAGTATTGTCACCGAGTAATCTCTCTCTCTCTCTCTCTCTCTCTCTCTCTCTCTCTCTCTCTCTCTCTCTCTCTCTCTCTCTCTCTCTCTCTCTCTCTCTCTCTCTCGCTCGCTCGCTCGCTCGCTCGTGGTGAGGCGCACACAAGATAACACGGGCGTACTCGAGATATTTGCCTTTTGCGCTGTGAATCACGGGGGGGCCGGAAATGCACGGTTCTGCGGAGTTTCTTTGTGTCGTTCATCTATAGGAGCAGCCGTCGATATATATCGCTATTCCTATGAAGTAGCAATGTTATTGTTTCTGCAGCTGTACGTAGCAATGTGTGGGGGGATAGGAGAACCTCCTGTAGGATGTGGATCTGATTATGGTAGACGCACTCGGACATAAGGCGGTGAAGGAGTCGTGAAATTGTCCATCGATCTCATGAAGGGAAGGGAAGAGAGAAATGGAGGGAGGAAGGGAGGAGTGGAAACAGCGGGAGGGAAGAGCGAGGGACGGAGTAGAAAGAGGGAGCGAAGAGCGAGGGGAGGGAGGGAGAGAGGGAAAGAGGGAAAGAGGAAAGGGATCCTTGGAACCGCACGACAAGGTCGTCATGATCTCTAAATGAAAATGGGTAGCTATGTATCCAATTGGATGCTGTCGATCTTATGCTGGTAGTCTCATCTCCATCATATTACGGCAGGAGGTCATCGATCTCCTCTTTTTTTCTGGTTTTGGTGCCTCTATTACTCCCAAGCTTACCCTCTGTCACCCGCACGCTACGGCGTTCAGGTAGCCATTCTTTTATACTTGGGCTGCGTGTCGAAACAGACTTAAGGCGCTATCGAAATGCTGTTAATTAACCATCCATCATACGCGGCGATCTGTAAGTGACCGTAGGCGCTCAGAAGAGCGCTAAGAATTTGCTTCCGCCTTTAGTTTCTGCCGTCGTTCCGGACTGCGGCTCGTGTTTTCATTCATCGATTCAATTCAAGTCATCTCCTCCTCTATTGTTTCTCCTGCTGTTGATGATGATGATGATGATGAGTCCGGTGATGATGATCATCATACTGAGAGGGTGATGATGCGCCTAACTAACCTATATGGCCATTGGTTTTTGCAGTAGGAGGAAGAAGATCATCGGATAACGGTGATGTTTTCGAGTGCGCCAATTGTGCGCACACACCCGTTTTCCAAAACAGGAAAGGAAGGAAGTGAACGAGTCTAAGACCGTAAAGCCTCAACGACTGCACGCCAGACATCCCATATTTATAGAAGATGGGATGATGATACAGTCTGAACTTCGTGGACCAAGGGAACGAAGGGAAGGACGGGAGGTAAAGTGCTTTAGTGTATAGACTGAGGCGGGACAGTCCTCTACTCCCTACTAGTAGATTCATTGCCTTACAGCTTATATACATCTATATGTATAGCGTCTTACATATCTATATCTATATCTATATATATATATCTAGATCTAGATCTATATTTATGTATATAGATATATAGAGCAAGTGCTAAGGCAAGGTTCCAGTAATCCCGATTTGCTCCTCTGTTCCTGGCCTAGATTCATTGCATCGATCCTTGCAATCGACGGTCCCAGCGGTGTGATGGGTGACCATCGTGCACGGTTCTGACTGAACGGGTGCAGCGAGGAGTATTACCGCCGCTGAGGGAAGAATTCGGTGAAGGTGGGTGGATCTTCCCTCCCCTCTGCTTCCTTAGCAGGTAGTACGAGCGTGCTAAGACGATATGTCTGCGTCATCAAGCCTTTTGTGCGCACGTGCACCCGTATCGTTTTCCCGTCTAGATGCAGCTTATCCCATGACAACGTCTGTGCTCGCCGTGGTATTCGCACTGCGTGCGGATGGGCTTGTTGCGGGCTCTTTACTTCGATAAGATTTTATTTGTTTTTTTTTTTTTTTTTGGGAGACTCATATTTTTGTTTTTGAGAAACTCAGACAATTGTGCAAATTGACTACGAGTACACTGTTTAGAACGCGCGACCTAATAATAGAAAATACAGAGCAGATCCCGTTCGACTACAGTCGTGCGTAAGACTTACGGACACTACGGTCTTGAAGTTCCCCGCAATAGAACGAACGGTCATTATAGCTGCTGCATTTGGGGCGACTTTCAGTCTAGATACGTGCATTAGGGTCGTACCTTCGGTTCGGGGGAAGCCGGTGCTGCCAATTACCCCCCTCTCCTCCCCCCCCCACCCACCGGATTTCGCAAATCTTTGGGTACAACGAGGGGGGAGCTCGAAATTTTATTTTAAAAGCATATAATTCCATTTTAGGTAGCTTTGTAGCATTACGATTCCTTTACGGTTTGTTTCTTGTACATATTTTACAAGCCCTCTTTGATTCCCATTCGATTCAATCATTCTTAAATCCGTGTTTTTTTTTGGGGGGGGGAGGGGGGGGGAGGAGAAAGGAGGAGATCCGTGAATTTTAAGGTTTGTATTCCTGCTGCTGGAAATACCGAGATTTCCGCTTTCCTATCGGAAATCAAAATCTTTGGATTTTTTTTTTTTTCCTGCTAAATTTTACCGAGATTTCTTTTTTTTTTTTGTGGAAGGGGAGGGGGGGNGGGGAAGGTTTGAGTCCGTAAATTTGAATGTTTGCATTCCTGCTGGAAATACCGAGATTTGTGCTTTCCTATCGGAATTCACAATCTTTGGATTTTTTTTTAACTGCTAAATAAATTTCAAAACTCCTGCGATATATATGATATTTGTGACGATATATATACGGTTCAGCCAGCCTCCTGATGAGTCGGCGAGACTCCAACGAAACAGTTTTGGCACAGTCCCTCGATTGTTGTCGTGTTCTCTCTCTCTGCCCTCGGTTTACCGGGCAGCTCTGTTTGACGATGATATATATGTTTTTTTTTTTTTTTTTTTTTTTTTTTTTTTTCCCTATGACTGTGTTCGCCGCTGGCACGACCGCGGCATTGCTTCATGGCCATGAGTGGCCAGGGGGTGGCGGCCCGCCGCTGGCGAGGGGACGCATCCAGGAGTTAGCTTGAACTTTCAGTACGCGGCTCGTATACGGGCGCAACTTTCGGGGATCTGGATGATACCCGACCAAAATGGCAGGCGGTCTCAGCCAAAATGAGGCCCGTGTTTTTTTTTTTTTTTTTTTTTTTTTTTTTTTGCACACCCCTGTATATGAAGTTTGCACTTGTCAAGCTCCTCCTCCTATACATGGTACATACAATTTTTTTAATTTTTTTTTTTTAATAAATTTCCTAAGGCCGAAGGATTTCTTCATTGATATAGATGTCTCCATTTTCACGAAATTTCAAACTTCAGTTGTGAGATATCAAAAATTACTAGTTAGCAAAAAATGATAAATTCTAATCCACGTGTAATTAACGCGCAGATCTAAATACCTTTATTGCGTTATGCACACCTCCTCTTCCATTTTTCTTTGTCCTGTTTTTTTTTTTTTTTTTCCGCTTTCTTTTTCGTCTCTCGATCAGAGTGCAAGAGTGAAGGGGTGAGAGTATGAGGACGCATCTCATCACCACCCACAATCATGAAACAAACCTGCAAAGGAATCATCATAGAACTATCACAGAACTATCACAGAACTATCATAGCACAATCGTGCTAAGAAACCGCCATACAGTAAGTATCCTGTCGTTTCCGTCCACTCATTCGTAATTTTTTTTTTATTTTTATTTTTTCCCCTAATGCTTCTCTCCTCTTCTTCCAAGTCGGTAGAGGCACCTTCCCTCCCTCTCTCCCTCCCTCTCTCCTTCCCTAGCTATCGTGTCGTTTGTAGAGCGCTTCATTTCCCCCCTGTCCTGATCCCCTCTTTCAATCTCCCAGT